GGCAGGCATGCTTATGTTTGCAGGTTGATACAGTTTGGAGGCAAGCTTTGTGTTATTTGTTGTTTGAAACAGGTTAGCAGGCTTCAGGCTTGTGTTACAGTTTGTGGTGAGCCTGGTTTCTAAGCTTGAGGCAGTTTGAAGCTTATTTCTAAGTTACAGGCTTGAGAGCTTGCGTTGTATATTTCTTTATGTTTTTTTTTTTTTGCCTTTTTTTACAGTGTTGATTCTGTTTTCTTTATCTCTAAGCCTGCCTGTAAGCCTCTACTTCTCTCTCTCTTTTCTCTCTCTATCAGAAAAGCATATTTTAATGCTTTACTGTCCTTTTTCTGAAAAAGTGATGGCCTGGAAAATGATGATTAAAAGTGTTTTGCTTGCATTGTTAGCTTTGCTCTGCCTCTTGTACTTTCTTCTGCATCTTTCCAGATTTCCTGTATTGCTTTGATATCTTCTTTGTCAGTTTTGACAGTTTTTGGACAGTTTGGTTGACATTGTGACTTAGTTGGCCATTTTGACAATTTGGTTGCCTTTTCAGTTTTCAATTTGGTTTGGATTTATGTAGCTTGTCCCTTTGGCTATTTTGAACTGTGCAGCTTGTTTGCCCATTTTAGTTTGCAATGTGGTTTGAAATTATGCAGCCTTGTTTTGGCATATTCAGTAGCTTTGTGCATTTCATATATTTGCAAGCATATTTCCCTTTCCCTCTTTGTGAACCAAGAGTCTTCTTGTGATTTGCAGAGAGGGCGAACAAACTGATTCCGGCCAACACTTTTAATGATGAGTTTTTTTGATTGACTGTCTGAGAATGCTCTTAATTTATCTGTGTTTGACTTCTTTTCTTTTTTGTCTTTGCAGATAAAAATCAGTTGAGCAATAGGGAGCAGCAGTAGAAGATGAAGATTTCAAGCAATTTAGAATACAGTTTTATTTTATTTTAATCATTTGTAATAAACATTATTATAAATACTGTAAAAATTACTTGTATTTAAATAACACTTGTACCAATAATTAAAAATAAATAAAAGTCTTTTTGTCAGATATCTCTTTTAATTCTTCTGCATTTATTTATTTAATTACTTAAATTTCTTGAATTATAATAATTGGAAATTATCCAATAATTTTAACTTAGAAATTATAAATAATCAATAAACGTCTGGCGTTCCGAATAACCAAAAACATCGCGCAGTTAAACAAACAAACGTCCATATGTCCTTTATCTCACTGATCAAACTTAAACTTCAAACTTTCAATCAGAAGCCTCAAACCATGTCCCAGATGTTCAGCCCTTTGAGAAATAAACAGAAATCTTGAGCAAACGCCAGAGCAGTGTAACAGCCAATTAAAACACTCTGGATTCAAATTCTTCTGAAAATGCGCGTGCAACCCTAATTCTTGATTTATTGTCAAAGAAGCGTCTGCCTGATCAAACCTTGAGCCAAACTCAAACAAATCAAAAGAAACCCTAATTTTGTCTGACTGATTCAAAATCAATGAAAAACCCTAATTTTGTCTGACTGATGAGAAAAGTCTGTTTGACCGATTCTTAAGCCAATCTGAAAAATCAGGAAAATCCCGAAGCTGTGATTTCTTGTGGAAAAGAGAGGACAAATTTTGGGGTACAACAGGGGACTACCAAGCTAGGGAGAAATCCACTAAATAATATCAATTCATAGACCCTCGGTAAACAATCAGTTTACGATCTAATCACTTAATCACTACACGTGATATACTTATACCTAAGACACACATAGGTATGAGGCCCTCCTTAAATTCCTTCAATCACTTACAGTGAAGAACAACTGAAATAACAAGTTTTAAAGACTTAAATCATTAAATATTTAAAAGCTTATGAATGATCCACAATTAAAAACTCAAATAATAACTTAAGTATTAAATCAATACTAGAGTGTATAATAATTTAAAGACTTAGACTTCTAAAACAGAAAGAAAGTATTCTTCTTCAAAATTTGCAGTTGAATGAATAAGGAAGCAAGTCCTTATAAAGGCACAACAATGGACTTGGGCTGAAAAATAAATATTCCAATCTTTGAATATTTCCATGAAAATAGACCGAGATATAATCCATAAAGATGATTCAAATAGAGAAATATTCCTCCATATTTTTCGCAAGCTATGAGTCACAAATCCTGAATTATGGCGCGCATGAAAACAGGAAACAAAAAACTTAAACTGATATGAATTGCATTCAGTTCAGAAGGCATATGTCAAGATATCTACTTTGACATCATTCAAAATAGTTTGCTTCAAATGTCAAGACATTTGGCAAAACATTATCAAAATATTGTTTTACCAAAATTGCTGCCAACAAACACTTACAAGTTGGCACTTCTGTTTTTTTGGACAAGAGTGTCACTTTTGTGGATGTCATATACATGCGGTACTTTGAGGACTTTGAGTGGATCCATGAGTACAATTGGGGGTCGCTTATTTGGTCTACTTGTATTCTAAAACGAGTACAACAAGGAGATCCATTAGTACAACTGAAAACTCTAGCTGGAAGACGGAGCAGGTGACCGACAATATCACACGTTTGACGATAACATATCTTGGTCTTCTATTGATTGTGTGCCACTTTGTTAATTAATATTTTTATCCCATGCGATACACAAGACAAATTATGAATAGATATTGTATGTGAGAGAAAAATTTAAGATTTTTGTTGATTAAATAATTGAAGTATATAGAAATTAGTGGTGGAATAATGAGCTAGAGTAATTAATATTAAATATTAATTAATATATTAAATAATATTTATTGGAAAGAGAAAAGAAAATAATGTGATTAAAAAGTATTTAGGCGGGATTTTATTTAAAATTTGATGCTTAAGTGTGTATTTTATTTTAATATATTAAAGATTACTGCAACACCGTTACTAACTAATGATTATTGTTTTTCAGGTCTGGATCCTACAACACTTCTCATGCATCTCCGGTTGGTCACTTGATTTGGCTTATACTGAGGATAAATCACGTGCTTCTGCATTCGACCCGCTTAGAGGGAATCAGATGATAGAGTCGTTCATGGTGTATATTGATTGATTGCTCGACCTGACGGCTCCTCATCTGTCTGAGCGCGTCATGCATCAGTTCGACTACATGCAGTATATTCCCAAAGATCATGTTGTTCCAGCTCCTCCCCTGAAGAAATGCAGAGATATGAATGTTATGTTAGATGATTATGTTAATCATCTGGTACCAGATGAGGCACGAAGTACCATAGTACCGAACGACTAGAGCTACGTAGATGATTACATATGATGGTTCTTCCAGATATCACATCCATATTTAGTACATGATGCTCAAAGAAACTCATCTAGGTCAGCTCATCAGGAGATTTTAGAAGAGAAGTGGACTAGGGTCGATCATGCTTATGATGTGTTGTCTAGGTGTCATCGTATCATGGAGATTGGGCATGTGGATATTGATGGAGGACTCTTTCTTGATGGCTCTTAGGTAAGAGGTGTTATAGATGCCATTATGGCGGAGGTAATGGAGGTTCTGCAATACATGAGACAACACACGAACACGAAGAGAGTGTAGGTCGATTCATAGTCTAACATACTCAATAGTCTTGACATTTGTATGTTTGATATATTTTGGATTATATTTTATTTATCGACTTCGGTGTAACTCTTGATACTTTTTGTAGTATTGACTTATATCTATTCATATCTTTATTATAAATCGAATCTTAGAAAATGTTCTAACGTTTTACATTTTATAGTCTTGATATGAGAATCATTGAAAAATAAATTGTTATATTGTCTGCATAAATTTCGAAAATACACCTCCGATACATTTACGAAGATGTATCTCCGGAGTAAACTGATATTTACCTAAAAAAAATATATCTCCAAAAATTAAGGAGTTTTTTTGGGTTTTACATGTGTGTTTTTTTGGATATGTAGGGTGTTTTAAGAAATTCTCATGCCAAAAATTCCATGTGAATGTAAATGTGGAAAAGTAATAAGAGTCCGACAGAATTTATCAAATTTCTTAGTATTGGTAGACACTTTAATGAACATGGTGCAAGTTGGTGTTAGGAATTGAGGAACAAGCACGGGTGAAGGGTGGATTATAAAACAGTTATTGAACGTAATTAAATCCTAAGATAGCAGCCTAGAGTTGGCATGAAATGCACAGATTTAGAGTGAAATATACATTTTTTATGATATGGCATTGACATGAAAGATTACATATATCTTGATCAGATGTGCCTAAGCATAGCTTCTATTGACAGACAATTTAAGTGACAGAACATACTACAACTTTTTGGGATATATTTGCTATTGGTAACTTTCATTGACATTGAAATTATGGTCACAAATTTTCAAAAGTTATACATGGCACCCCATTTAGTATGCTTTTACTATTATATCTTTATTTAACATAACAAAATTTGAAAAAATGAGTTTAATTTATGAGGGGTGACGGAAATTTAAAAAAAAAAAAATACCGGATTTTTCTGAAATTTCCGAAAAAAATTACCAAAATTTTCAAAAAATTACCGGATTTTTCGAAAAATCCAGTAGTTCATTTCCAAGAAAAAAATAAAATATTTCAATATAAAAATTTCAGTGTATTTGAAATTTCCGATATAATACCAGAAATTTCGAATACATTGAAATTTCTGGTATTGAAAAAAAAAAATTTTAATTTTACTGGAAATTTCATTCTTTGCCACCCCTAATTTGTTCATGAACATTTTTGGAATTAAGAAAAATGAGGAGTGTCAGGTATAACTTTGGGGTTGACATGTTAAAACCTCTAAAGGGAGTAACAAGCTTTGAAAACAGGACCCATTGACTAGCCTCAAGTTTGCCGATGAAAACGATGTTAATTAGATATAAACATCTATATTCTTGAAATAAGAGGAAAGAAATATGAAATCCCTGAAGATCCATAACCAAACCAGAGAGGTACGTCAAGAAGGCAAAAAAGATCAGGACTGCATCTACATGATAATATATTTCTTGAATAAATATGACTAACAGGAAAACCACAGAATTCTTGAAGATTCTGAAAGGTGCTTTCTTTCCCAATCTTGAGGTCCTCTTGAACTTTCAATTCATGGAAAATCATATGCTTCTCAGGTCAGCTCGTGAATTACCATCACTTGCCAGAATGCTTCAAGTTTATCAACACTGGTTGTGTTTCTGTTCAACCGCTCGGTTACAGCATCAAATTGATACTTTCCCCAGTATTTCCAGTAAAAAAACCACAGAATTATTGCAACAGCAAAGCTGGTTTTCACAAGAAAATGCATCCTTAGCTAACTTACAAATAGCGTGTTGTTAAAGATGGCATTAGTCTGCGTCACCAAGCCCATCACTCCCATCACCTCTCTTGGATATGGGAATAAAATTTGAATTTGGTTTCTTTTTCTGGGAGGCAATTTCAGCATTCTTTCGTAAAACAGCTCCAGGTGATGGATATGGTCGTTGTTGAAACAAAGGACCCTGAAATAGATCATGTTGAGCTTTGAGAAAGATCAGACTGAACCCAAAACTATATATCATAACAGGAATAAGCATGCATTTCCGATGTTTCTGAAAACCAGCAATAACTTCAAGAAACATCTTTGTTTTCATTTTTTAGGTAGTCAATCCCGGATAGAGGCGCATAGCGGCCGACCCCAAAAGTGGGATAGCGGATGACCACTTTTTAATAATTTTTTGGACAAATTTACATGAATAATATTATAAACATAAACATATATTTACTGTAAAATTAAAATAATTCAACCCATAAAACATTCACATAAAAAAACATAAGCTTAATAAAAAAATACTGAAAAACCCACAAAGTCTTAATCAAGATCAAGAGTCAACAAGTCTTGATCAAAACATTACATGAACAAAAAGTTTAGACATGTTGAAATGAGACTAAACACGAAGGTATAAAAAGAAAACAAAAGAAAAAAGAAGAATAAAATTAATGAAAGACAAAACAGAGGAGAAGAAAAAAAAGAAGAAAATGGACAAAGCACGGGAAAGAATGAATGAAAAGAAATGAGTAAAAAACAGAGGGAAGATGAAAAATAAGAGATAATTTAGATTTTTCAAGTGAAAACAGGAAAGCGGCCCATAATCCGCTCCAGGCCGCACCCCGCTCTTGCGACCCACAAAAACCCTAGGAGCGGCCGCACCTCACCACTCCTCCCCGCACCTCCGCGATAGTGGTGCTCCAGGTTGCTATTGATTACCTATCGAGGTTGGTTTTGGTGGCTGGAAGGAAATTTGGTTATGAATTTTTCTTTTTAATTGTGATAGAGATAAGATGAAATGAAAGGTAATTGGAAATAATGCATTTGGAGAAGCAATGAAAACAATATTGACTTATTTGTTAATGAACTCTAATGTCCCATAAATTCATTCACACAGTAGGACGGCAACTTTGTGATTGTAACAAGAAAATAATAAAACTCTTTTGAGAATAAGTTAGACTCTTCAATTTTGTAACTGTTATTAAATTATTAGGATTGATTAGTGGAAAATTATTATATATTATTAGGGACAATTAAGTTTTATTATTGCTGTGAGTTTAGGTTTAGACTAAATAGGGGAAGACATGGGGGAGTTGATCATCTGGGAATTAGTAAGTGGTTATTGAGAGAGACCCAACTCTCGAACATTTGGGAAGGGAGAGATCCAAGACTCTCGAATTCTTGGAAGGAACCAAACTGGTCCCTGTCATTCTGTTTATGTATTATTTCTCTGTACTGAAATTCTGTAAATTTATTTTATAAACAGTTTCTATCAGAATATTGAAAAATCTAGGTATGTAAGGTTGGATGAACACTTCGTTGAAATGCATAAGAGCTTCTGAAAAGATAAGGAAAGAATGTACATACGGTTGCTGTTGTGTCAGCTGCTCTTGGCTGCACACCTTTCAGACCCACCACCCTGAAATAAATCATAAATTTGTGTTTACTAATAGGATTTTGGTCACTACAATAAGCAATAAACAATTCAGTATCATAAATTAATGTACGTGAGTGTGAAAATATATCCATACCAGCCACCACGAGGAGCATCTGAATAGGAGCTGGGGTCCATAGGATCCAACTCATCATCCTCTTCATGAGTGCGCTTCTTGCTCGTTTTTTTATTTCCTCTATCAAATGGAGGTTTCCAACTGGCCCTGAAAAGACAAATGATAATCAGTATGCTCTCTATGCCTATGGTGCCCATTATTATTATTATTATTATTATTATTATTATTATTATTATTATTATTTATATCGGGTGGGGGGAGATAGAACAGAGTAGGACATGCGGAGACTGGAGAGAGGTGGTTGAAGAGAGAGGAGTATATAGCATAATGATAATGAGTATTTGAAAGGACAATAACTGCTAGAGTCTTTTGGCTAAATGGATATATATGGTTTGGAGCAGAGAGTGTTAATACAAGATAATATCACTACTTAGTCTATCTTTTTAATTAGGACTAGGAGTCTGGATTAGTATTGAAACTTTTATATCAAGCTAATATAAATCAAATCAAGTCTAGTAATAAGATTCAGAATTCTTATTATTCAACAGAGTATGGAATTGGTCCTTCTTTCTAGTATCTTTCAGTTTCCTTTATTTTTCTCAGTCTATACCATCTTGTAAGGGGTAGCATTCCATTCCATTATCCATTTCATGTCTTCATCAGAATTGTTGTATGAGGATATGTGCTCTGATTTGGTTCAATACAACATATATATTATTCTTTCTTTTTAATTCCTGAGTACAATCCTATCAAATAACTCAAGGGAAATATCATGGCATAAGATGAGATTTCTTTCTCCAATAATATTCATCCTAATTATCCTTATGTAATGAACTGTATTTCATTGTTTGATTGAATAATCCTATTTCAATCAATGTTGCCGATGGCGGATGGCGGTCCATGGCGGAAAGCCAAAATCCCGCCATAATGGCCGCTTTGCGGCGCCGTTATTGCGGATTATGGCAGAAAAACCCGCAATAGCGGCAGATATTTACCATTGCGGCGAGCCCAAAAACCGCCATGTATATCCGCCATAGCGGCCATGGCGCCGCAATTTGATAACACTGATTTCAATGACAAACGTACTAGTAGATACTATGAGACAACAATGTTAACCTTCTTTTTATATTCATCATTAATTGTTCTTTAAAATGTGCCTCCTGCAACCCTAAAAGGAAAATATACTTGTAATACAGCATCTTTAATCTCTAATCACAAACACATGATAGAATTTTGAAGACAGTACGGTGTAAAAAAAGAGATGTTCTGAAGGACGGATAGTTACAATACAAATCTTAGTAGTTAGAATCAGTCAGTAGAACAGCAATAGATTTTTGGTATCAATTTAACAGCACTGCATATATCTTCATATAAAACCATACCTCTGTTTGGTAGCGGTTTTATCAGAACTTTCAGTGGAATCTGCAGCACTGCATTGCTGATTATTCAAACTTGCGGACAAATTCTGACATTGTGGAAGATTGAAAACACTGCAGATGTTCATTTTTTGATAAATTAAAAACTAAAAAATATATTAGATATAAACGTTTGGAGCTAACATAGAAGACTGAATCCAGAATGAAGCGTCCAATCGACTAAACAAGTCTATACGATCATTGACTCCACAATACATTCTCAAGATATTAAGAGCACTTAACAAAAAATGAAGTAGGAAACACACAATAAATAATAAATAATTATTGTAAAAAAAAAAAAAACATTATAAACACAAGTTTGTGTAGTCTGATTAGACATACAGAATATTTCAGATACCAATCAATGTATGATCAAAGTAACTTCAATACAAAGATGCAGTCAAGCAGAAACAGTGTAAGAGGAATTATCATAAACTAGTCGTAAGTAAGCAAGAGTCACAACTCTCTACCTCGTGCAGTGATTGCAGTAACCCCATGCTTGCACAAGGCCTACACCCCAACCACCACAGCCCATGCACCTCTGTAAATTAGATGATTGGCCATCCACGTGACCAACTGACAAGGCCAATTTATCTGACACGGTTTTCTGAGTAGAATTTGGATGCTTCCATTGTGATACATGAGTTTTTGTATTGTAGTAATACTTGTGACCTTCAGCAAAATAAAAAGTAAATAAGATAACTTACAAAGTTCATAAACTGGGGGCAAAAGGAGATTAGAGAATTTGACTAGGTAATGTACTATGCTTCTAATATTTATTAAACTAAAATCTAACCATGGGTAAACTAACCCAACCACTCCAAAGAGGAAAAGACCATTGTCACGTATGTTCAAATATTTTAGTTTATCTTAGGTACAAACTAGAATATATACTGAACCTGATTGCAAATAAATTAATAGATGGTCGTTGGGAAAATTGTAATGTTTTCACAAAGTGAATTTGCAAGAGGAATAAAGTATATTTGCTAACTGCATAACCGAAGTATATGCAAAGTGGTCAAATGAATAAAAAGTCAAACACCGGAAAATTTAAGATTGGTCAGTCTGTTATTCATTCCCAAATAGGAGCGGAATTGTACAGTGTGCCTCCATTGACGTGTTTTTTCTTCAATCTTGATTAATAATTGCTTTCTTATGTTGTTTATAAGAGGTTGCATTATCCAAATTATGTGTTCAACTTTCAATCAACTGTTTCCAAAAAAAAGGAAAAAAGAACTAGAACAAGCATTAAAATTTCAAGTTCCAAGCCACTAAATGTTTCCATTACCAAGGTTAGATTTCTTTCAAGTGTAACAATATCCAACTATAGATGTGGGTGTACTTGAGTTTGTGTAAATTCCTTTCTAGGACTAAGATCACCAGATGATGATAGCTTTATTTGTGTAGCAGGAATTGCAGAAAAGTTTGAGAAGAAACAACTGATACATACTGCAATTGAAAGAGGGAAAAAAAGTAGCAACAGCAACAAGATCCATGATACATTAGAAATCGCAAAATTGCTTATACTTGATAAAAGTTAAACCATGACTGTAACAACTCTCAGACTGGAATTCCTACCAAACCCACAACAACAACAACAACAACAACCGGTCAAGAGAGGACTGCCACTAGCAAGCAAATTTGATTCTGGGAGAAATTTTCCTATTTCATGTACAACTCAATCTTTCAGTTTCAAGTTTTGGGATCCAGGAGGATACATTTTTCTACTGAGTATTTCTTTTACCTTGAGGACAAGGTGAATCTTTAGGGACGGAGTATTGTTAGACTTCTCATATGACTTAGCAACTATGTTTTTAAATAGCAATTATTATATTATTAAGGGTTGTTAGTGGAGAATTATTATATTATAAGGAGCAGTTATGTTTT